AGGGTGGACACCAGGAAAGGTATTGGCCAGCCCGACCATTAAAAGCAGAGTTGTTCAAAGTAACAGATAAACACACTGAATCATAGAATACAGTATCAGTGATAAAAAATGAAAGCTTATCCAATAAAATATGAAGGTTGAAATAAAATAAAAATATGGGGCTCGTGATAGTCTGGAAACATTGTAGAAGAAAATAGGGGCAGAACTGCCTGGCAGAGGCACTCCCAGTGGGAGGAAGAAAAGGACAACATCCTAAATACTACTGGAGATAAAGACATCTGAGATGCAACTTTCCAGATAAACAGTGCTTCTTCATATCAGAGATAAACACCTAGGACCCAGCACAATGCCCTACTAATGAAAACAGGTCAGTTTCATTGGAGAAGAGATATTTTGATGGGATTATAAGCAGAGTTTAGAGACAGAACAATAATGTATGAGAACTGAGAGTGCTATCAATATGTTTCCATGGATCAAAAAGCAGGTGCAGATAGTTCCACTGTAGAAAAATATGTTTCTAAAATGAAAAGAAAAAAATTTGTAATTTTACATAATCTAAATTTCATTGGGATTATCTAAAAATTTGTGGTGAAGTCAGATGAGGGGAAATGCAGAAATTATTTCTGACTGGAGTTCTGCAAAACTGCCCACCAAAAATGTTTAAATTTCTGGAGGGATCATCCCCTATGGGATCCTCGGGGCCACTCAAGGATTTTCCCTTAGGGTCAGTCTCAAGCAAGGTCAGAAACTTTGAGCTTCTACTGTCCCTTTGACCCCAGGATTAATTTTTGGGGGAAAAAAATGAAGTATGAAAACTTCAAGTGGTTCTGAGATCAATTTAAAAATATGAAGAAGAAGAAACAGAAGAAGAAGAAGAAGAAGAAGAAGAAGAAGAAGAAGAAGAAGAAGAAGAAGAAGAAGAAGAAGAAGAAGAAGAAGGAGAAGAAGAAGAAGAAGAAGAAGAAGAAGAAGAAGAAGAAGAAGAAGAAGAAGAAGGGTAAGGGAAGAGGGAGAGGAAGAGGAAGAAGGAGAAGGAGGAGAAGAAGGAAGAGAAGGAGAAGGAGGAGAAGGAGAAGGAAGAGAAGGAGAAGACCTTTAAAAGGTTAATGCTCCATGACATTTGGATTCAAACAATCCTAATCAAAATTCTAGAATGTCTTTATACAAGAAAATATGTTACTTCTAAGAAATCCAAAGGAAGTTAAAAGAGACAATACCTTTGAAAAAATCAAGATAAAATTGGAAGGTTTATGTTATCTGATTTTTAAAATATACTCCAAGTTATAAGGATCAAGTTAGTGTGATCTTAATATCAAGATTGACACATAGGTCAATAGAAGCCAATGGAATCCAAATAGAGATGCACACATATAAGATCCCTTGAGTTTTGTTAAAAGAGCAAAAGCAATTCAGTGGAGAAGGACATCCTTTAGCCATACACAAAATTATGAAGTTAAAATAGTTTATAAATCTAAATGTAAATTCTAGTCTTCAAACATACACAGAAAAAAACACATGGTAGTAAATGTCATCCTGGAATTTAAGACAGAATTGTTGCAACTAACAGATAAACACTCTCAATCATAAAATACAGTGTCAATGATTTAAGAAAGGAAGCAGTATACAATAAAACATGGTTGAAATAAAATCAAAATGTTCTGGATTAGCCAAAGGGATTTTAGATGGACATGATTCAAACGTATCCAAAGATGTATAAAGTAGACCATCAAAATGGATAACTCTTAGTATTTTGAAGTCCTTAAGGCTAGGGATGTAGCCCAGTGGGAATAGCGCTTGCTTTGCTTAGATCAGATCTGAGGTTGATTCCAAGGACTGTTAAAAAACTGAACAAGCATGCAAAGCAGTGTTCTTGGGTGGAAATGTGGGTCAAGTGGTGAGCACTTGTTTGCATGTGCTGAGTTCTAGGTTGGGGCTTGAGTCACAGAAGCACATGCCCCACCCCAGTACTGTCAGGTAGAGCAGCACTGTTGTTCTCAAGTGCTGCCAGGAGTGTCCCTTGCCCACAAAGGCATTACTAGTTAAAAAAAAAGTTTAAATTATGAGCTGGAATAAAATTGCATATATAATTATTAATATGCATAATACAAAATTTCTCAACCTACAGAAAGAAATGAAAAACAATCCCACATGGGTAAGATATTTATAAGATAGATGTGGATCAGCCTATGTAAATGACACATGAGCCCATGAAGTAACTCTGGACGGCATTAGTCACTTGGGAAATGCAAACCAGAATCACAGTGAAAACCTCCCTAAACTCCTAAAATAACCACATGGTCCCTACCAATGGCTAACATGGGGGAAAGGCAGCCTTGGTTCTTATCCACTCACTGAGAATGTTACGGAAACCAATCATTCGCAAATCAGATTGGTAGTTTCTTAAAAAGTTAATCATACACATTCCATCTGTGTGTATGGTTAACACATGACTCTGTCATTCTATTCCCATGTACTGACCAAAAATAAATAATCACATGTGTCCATTCAAAAACCAGTACAGAGGCCAGAAAGATTAAATAGGGGTAAGGCACTTATTCAAGTACCTCCAGGAATTATCCCTGAGCTCAGAGTCAGAAGTAAGCCCTGAGTACAGCTGGGTGTGACCCCCAAATGCCCTCCCCCTCAAAATAACAAAGAGACCAATACAGGAATGCTCTTATGAACTTAATCTGCAATAGTCAAAATTGTGGTATTCACCTAAATCAAAAGGCAAATAAAACAAAGTGTGAATAAAATGTTACAATAAAATGTTAGACAAGTAGGAACAAACTATCAATTTGCACATCAACGGGGATAAATATCCAAGTAGAGGAACCATACCAATAAGAGTATGTGCTGTTCTATGATATAAGATTTTAGAAATTTTAAATTAATCTATAATGACAAAAAACTGACTCACTGCCAGAGAGGCAAGCATAGAGTTTGGTGTAAGAGGAAATTTTGAGGATTGAGTCTATGTTCGTTATCTTGATTCTGGTAATCAAGATAATGAATAAAGGCTAAAACATGTATCATCCTTATCCAATTTGCAGGTTAAGTATATAAAGGTCTTTCATATACAAAATACATAAAGGTTTTACGTCAATCCAGGTTTTCAACCAGGGAAAGAAATTACAACTTCACAGACATTAACTTTCCTGTCCTATGGATTATTTTTGTGAACTTTGATTTGGAAACCCTGAACACTGAAATGAATGTGATCTAACAGGGAACATAGGTTTGTTTGGTGAATGATAAGAGGCCAAAAAGATATGGTTTCTCTAACCATGAACTGTGATCCCAAAAGAGACAAAAATCAACAACCACTTTTCGATCTTACTAAGAAACACAGGTGAAGCAGCAATTAGTAAAAGTGGAAATGGTCGTGCCAGGGCAGTATAAGTCAGCTTGGGTGGGGTGGGGGGAGAAGTTTCAAAATGGGGGATGGAGCGATAGCATTTGCCTTGCACGTGCCTGACCCGGGTTCGATTCCCAGCATCCTATATGGTCCCCTGAGCACTGCCAGGAGTAATTCCTGAGTGCAAAGCCAGGAGTAACCCCTGTGCATCGCCGGGTGTGAAGTCTCAAAATGTTCATAACTTTAATCTTAACATATACTTTTCAAGACTATTTCTTAGTAAAAGGATTAAGGTGCTTGCCCTGTATGTGCCCAATCCCAGTTTGATATCTGCCAGTGCTGAAGGTCCCCCCAGCAACACCAGTAGTGATCCCAAGAATAGAGCCTGGAAGAGCTTCTAGTGCCTTTGGGTGTGACCCAAACCCTCCCTGGCAAATAGTAAGAACTTTTCATAATCCCTCACAAATACTTAGAATGTGAGCAAGTATTTCGGATGTCTAGAACATAATATAAATTTAATGCTCTACTTATCTCTATATTTGGAAGGAGAAAATAAGAGCAAAAATGAGAGACAGGAGAAGGAAAGATAGGAAGGTAACAAAACAATTTGTACAATTTCACACATCACAGTGATGATACGGAAAGATAATGATCTTGAGAAAGGTTTATGGGGAGAACAGAAATGAGTTACAGAAGAGTATGATTAATTTGTGCTAAAACGCTTCAACTCTCCACATACAAAGAACAGGGAAAGATATATATTACTGTCAACAGAAGTAATTGCTGGGTAGTGGAATCGTGGATGAGTTAAATAATCTTGGTAGAATTTTCTATGATTTCCACATTGCTGCTGTAACACAATTTGTTCTTGACTGAGAAAAACTAAAAGTGTCAGGGAGGGAGAAGTATTCCTATCATGGTTATGTAGTGGGGGCTGCTTGGGGGTTGTGTATGTTTCAGAGGAAAAGGAAGTGTCGAGAACTCCAGGACACATCCCAGACGTTTGCTCCAAGTTCAGTCCTGTAGCTGATGGCTGATGGCTGAGCCTGAGCCCTCATTTGTTCTGAGCAGGTCAGGAGCAGTTGTTTACAGGGACCCCAGGACAGGGGACACACAGGGCCATTCGCCTCAAGGAACAGGGGCAGGGCACTTGACCAGCTGGTTCTGAGACCCCAGCCCGGCTGTAGCCTCCGCCACAGACTGTGGCAGTAGGTGGGGTCAGAATTCTGAGAAGGCTGAGGGATGGAGAATTTTATTTAATTAATTTATTGATTAATTTTGGGCTGGAGCGATAGCACAGCGGTAGGGCATTTGCCTTGCACACAGCAGACCCGACCGATCCGGGTTCAATTCCTCCATCCCTCTCAGAGAGCCTGGCAAGCTACTGAGAGTATCTCACCCGCACAGCAAAGCCTGGCAAGCTACCCGTGGCGTATTCGATATGCCAAACACCTTAACAAGAAATCTCACAATGGAGATGTTACTGGGCCCACTCCAGCAAATCGATGAACAACGGGAGGACAGTGACAGTGACAGTGATTGATTTATTTTGGTTTGGAGGTACACCCGGCAGGGCTTAGGCCTTACTCCCATCTCTGCACTCAGGAATTACTCCTGGCAGTGTTTGGGGGACCGTATGGGATGCCGCGGATTGAACCTGAGTCGGCCGCAAGCAAGCAAGGCAAGTGCTAGACCTGCTGGACCATCACTCCGGCCCAGGGTGGAGAATTTCAAACCTGTGAATCTTTGACCTGCACGGACAAGGGGCAGCTGGTCCTCCCGAGAGGCTGTTGAGGCAGAGTCCAGGATTGCCGGGGAAGCTTACACAGCAGCCCAGCCAGCTCAGGCCTGCACCCACCCATCCCAAGCCTCCTTAACCTCATGGAGTGGGACGGGGGGAGGAAACACATCCACAGCCTCCAGGGAGCACGTGCTTTATTTCAGCTTCCCAATCCTCATGGTGATTTTGGTCATGGGCGATCTAAAGAAAGGCAGTTGGACAGGAGGGAAAGAAGCCAGGCGAAGAGCACTGGAGCCTGTTCACGGAGCAGAGAACCTGCCACAGAACAGGATGTTCTTGGTCTTGTGATGGGTGATGAAGAAGAGGAAAGGGTGGTCGGCACAGAACTTGGGCTCCATCCTGCAGGAGCGGGTGTTCCTGATGACCGCCGTGGTCCCTGCCGCCTCTGTGCCCTCCTCGTTCAGCTCCACGAAGCACTTGTGTGCCACCTTGGTGACGGGCATGTTCTTCTTAGTGGACATTCCAGAAAAGTCCGCCTTGGCTTCGTCAAAAGCATCAGTCATTCCCAAGCTGCGAAGAAAAGGCTCCAGATCGTAGCTTTCCTCCAGCTTTAATCGGGGAAGGAACACTTGGATTTTCCCCTTCGTCAGATTTTCCGGACTTGTCCAGGCTCTGAATTTTTCATATGTAAGTGCTTTCTCCACCTGAAATAATCAAGAGGTAAATTTCAAATTCTGGACTATCACTGCCAGGCGCTACCCAACCATTCATCGAATCTTGACCCTTTCCCCCCAATCCACGTAACCAGCTTGCAAGTTCCGGTCCCAGAAAACTGATGGAGAATTTTCCTATTATAAACACTGCAAAATTTCCCTTGAATTCTCATCTTTCCCCCTGTTTTCTGGATAGAAGAATAAAATGGTTCAAAAACACCTGAAATAAAAGTGGATTTTTAAAAGCCCATACCAAATTCACTTCAAATGTTTGTTGAGAAAATTCTCAGGAGCAATTGAGAGAGAGCAAAGAGAGCAAGAGACCAACAACAGAGCTCAGAACTCAGATGAGGGGTGAAGTCAGAGATCCTTGGAACAGAAACTGACTTCTGGGAAAAAGAACGCAGCAACAGGGGAACTGCATGGGACTGTGGTTTCTGGCAACCTTACCTGCCCTCTGCCTGCACTTCAGTCAACCTGACCTTGAAGGCCCATCACTCATTCCATGGATCCATATGGAAGTAAAGAATGGAGGGGAAGGGATTTTCCTTTGCACCTCCCTTTCCTGTAGTCCCTGAAGTCTGGTGACCACCAATATTAGCCTCCACAGTGCAGCTCCTCTCTGGATGTTAGTTCTGGTCCTGGACTCTCCTCATTTCTTCTTCTCATTGTCTTCAGAAGCCACAACAAATCTCATCCTTGGATTATGCCCCTAAATTGCTATTTCAATTCCAGGGAACTTGGAATGGACCCACTGCCAGTCTCCTCTGGTTGGGTGCACTGGAGATGGCAGATCTCGTTGGCAAGGGTCAAGTTAAAGCCTGGATGGCACAAAATCAGCCCCAGTGGGAATATTTACACCATGGGAATCGGCAGCTTTACACATAAGTACACAGCACAATCAACACCTGGATCTTCCATCTGATGAAGAGACTTTCTCCCCTCTTGAATATTAATCCCTTTTCTATCATGGGAAAAGGTCAGTCATCTCCTCTTTAAGAGAAAGCCCTGTCCTTCTCCCTCTTCCACTTTCTCCCCTTCCTCTCTCCTCACGTGTACTTAAAGTGTGCATTTTATTGGAAAGACAAAAATCTCAGGTCACAAAATCTTGAATTGAACTCTTCTTTTTAGGAGTAACCATACATACCAGAGTCATAATTGTTGCTTATCAAATAACTGGGAAAGGAACATTGGATAGAAGATGACACAGGGATGGGGGTAAGGGATGGGGGTGGAGGTAGGGATGTGTGTCTGGGGTCTTAGGCACTTCAGTGTCAGGAATGAAGAGTCTCTTTGTACATCAATACCAGAAACTTCAACACTACTTTATTCCTATCACCTAAACTGTGGTGTATATATATATGTATATATGTATATATATACACATATATATACACATACACACATATATGCACATACTATATACAATAAATAACATATTAAATAACGTATTTAAATATTTATTCAATATATATTAAAATTAAGTATATATTTAAATATTTCCCCTTAAATAAACATTCTGGTGATCACATACACATTAATATTTGGGAAACATTACCCAGATCAATCCTTACCATTTTCTAGTACTACTTTGATTCAGTAATTACTGCTTCGTCTAACTCTTCTCCACATTCAAACGAACATTCTCATATTATTTTGAAATTCTCTCTTTTTAACTTCATCAGGGCTAGAGCGATAGCACAGTGGGTAGGGCGTTTGCCTTGCACGCCGACCCGAGTTCGATTCCTCTGCCCCTCTCGGAGAGCCCGGCAAGCTACCAAGAGTATCTCACCAGCACGGCAAAGCTTGGCAAGTTATCCGTGGTGTATTTGATATGCCAAACACAGTAACAACAAGTCTCATGATGGAGACTTGGGCCCGCTCGAGCAAATCCATGAACAACGGGAGGACAGTGACAGTGATAGCTTCATCAAAATGTGAACTCTCAACCATTCCCACTCCAAAAATACACTTAACAACACTGTTTACACAGGACCACTAAACACCATACGATAGTTTTAATCCAGCACTCGGCATGATAAGTGAAGTTCCTCAGTCTCTAGTGGCTGAACTGAAATGGGCTCAGGCTGGGCCCACAGACACTCCGTTGCCTTGCCAAGAACTCACCACAGCAAGAGGGGTGTCCTCGTCGGGCAGCAGGATGACCATACTGAGCTCGTCCCCGGCATACGGAAGCTCCAGAACCTGAGTGTTCACCTCTTCAATGTAGCCTGTAGGAAACTTCGCTTGCTTAAACATCATCTGCACTGTCTTTTGCTCCTAAAGTAAATATGAAATTAAAAACAGGATTCTATAAAAATGATTGCACTCACTTGAGAGATATTAAATAATGTGTGTGAATAATACCCAAAGACAGAAGAAACAAGGGTCAGGATGTCTGGTCCATGGTAGGAGGCTGGCCACCAAGGGTGAGGGGGAATGCAGTTAGGACAGAGAAGGAACCACTATGACAATGGGAGTTGGAAATGATCACTCTGGACGAGAGCTGAGAGCTGAAAGGAGGTAATGTGAGGTGCCTGATACCCTTTCAGTAACTGCTGCCTAAAAGGAAAATGGTGGGGACTTGGGGGGGGGGGGTCAGGAGAGAATGTCATTGAGGCAAACTGCAGGAGAAGGGTGTGGGAGATGGGGGTAGGGAACTGGGGCCATTGGTGCTGGGAATTGTGCATTACTGAAGGGATGGATGTTGGAACATTGTATGACTGAAACTCAATCATGAACAGTTTTATAACTGTCTATCTCACAGTGATTCAAATTAGAAAAAAAATTTAAGTAAAAATAAGTTTCTGGAAAATGAGGTTTCCTAAAATTATGTCCAATTTGCAAAACCTCCTGGGATATTTAATAGTAATTTCTACATGTTTACTCTGGTGAGATCTTCATTGTTACACATTAATATTGAATATAACATGTGATTATCTCAGGAGATTCTGTATTATGAGCAAAGAGGGAATAAGTTGACAAGTACAAAGGGACATAAAACTCATGACATTAATAACATTAGGGAAAGTTTTCTCTTTCAAGAAGATTCATAGAGAATTATGCCCAGGACTGTAAATTAAAAGTTATCTCCCCAATTTAAAAGGAGATTAAAGTAATATTCAGAACTTTGAGCAGAAGGTTCTAATTAGAAAAATGTACAGGTAAGAGGGAGTTCACTTTTATTCTGAAAAGTCACTTTAGCTTTCCTAAAGATAGAAACTTAACAAATATTGGGCTGTGAATACTTGGGCAAGAAGAGAAAGTTGATGGTGTTAAATTCCAAGCTAATAACTTCTGATGTCCTTCTTGAGCATATTCAAAATAGCATGAAGAAAAGTGCTTTTAATGTTAGACTTTTAATTCTAGAGATTTATTATCCAACATGATTGACATTCTATTGAATTCTGAAAATTTGCCAAGAGTAGATTGTAGGTTCTATCATTGAATAAAAAGTGATAAGTATGTGAGCAAAAAATGCATTCATGATCTTAATATGGTCCTTAGTTCAATATGGTATCGAATTATCACCATATATGCCTTAAGCATATAAAATTCTATTTTGTTTTTTATAGCAACACCCATTGATACATGTATATTGAGGATCAAAATCAGGACTTCATATATGTGAAGTGTGTTTTATACAATTTGAAATCTACCCAGCCCTATAAAATTTTATTTTTAGAGACTTTTTTAAAAAAAAGTTTTAAAACTTTTCTTATAAGCCTTTACATGGTTAACAATATTTTCCTGTTTAGAATTTTGAAAGTCACTAAAAATGCAATTTTTTAGTGGGAAAATACAGTGATAATAATCCAAACCTACATCTAAGGCTTAGAAGAAACTGTCTTTCAATTCAAATCATATGACCAAAACCAGATCAATTGAACGAAGATGAAAAACAAAAAACTCAAAATAAAAACTTCCGTTTTAGTTTTTCTCCTCCCCCCGCCTATAAAAGATATCATGAGGTAAGAACATGAAATATATTGTGAATTAACGGTGAAATCAATTATTTAGCTTTTCCATTCGACATCTCCCAGTTATTGCTTTAAGAATGTGTCGGTGGCTCAAAGTGGTGTCTAAGTAAAGCATGTGATTTGGAAAGGGACAGTCAAAGCTCTCGTTTCATTTCCCCATCCCTGGAACTGGAAGCCACCCCATTCCCCAGCCTCTCTCCCACCCCCTACAGAACTGCCAAGTATGTCACAACAATATTTTTTTTAAACAAGAAAGCAGCTGTCCATGTACCTGTGATTTCCCTACCTGGTTGACCTTAAAAGGCATCCCTCTGGTGTGCTTTCTGTCAAACTGTTCACTCCACTTCCCTTTGAAATAGATCGCGTTCACCAGGACCAGTTTAGTCAAGGGGTTGATCATCCCAACGCTCAGGATCTCTGAAATCTTACCTGGAAAGAATGTGAGATGCGTTTATTGCTGTTTGGAGATAAACACTTACTCACCAAATCCACTCCTGCACCCCCCTGATCTAGCAATGGAGATTGAAAATCAGACTGGCATCCTTCCTTTCTAGACACCTGATGGATCAGCATGTTGGATCAAATGCACGTCTGGCTTTCAACAGCTTCTGGAAGCCAAAGGGGCAATGGTCGCTTTGCCCTTCATTTATACAGGTAGACGTTCAGATGCAGAGCATTTGCCTGACTCTGTGCCAACAGCTCAGGTAAGGCAAGTGATTGAGTTAAAACAATAATCCGAGGCTTGATTCTAACGTAGACTCCATGATTTCTCAATCATGCCATGGTGGGCAGTAGAACCTAGATGATTCTCTAGGGAAGGATTTCCCCTTGCATTGAAGATACTCAGCTAACAGCAGCATCCTCACACTTGTGACCACACAGAATGTCTCCAGCCACCACCCCATGCCGGCTGAAGGCTGACTCTAGCTGAGAACCATGGCTTCAGGTCAACATCCAATCTCATGGAAATGAAGAAAAGATAGGGGATGCCTCTGAGGATGGGAGAACAGTCACCCCAAAGAGGAGCAAATGAGATGAAGGACTCAAGAATGAAGTTGAGAGTCAACTCCCTAGAACTGCAACAGCCAGTGAGCAAGAGACCGCTGGACCTCAGACACCCCAGAAAGGCTCTTTCTCCACTCCTTTGGCCATTCCTTTGGTAGCACTCATAGTAAGAGGGTACCATGAAGACGGAAGGAGTAGAATCACAAGCACCAGGGTGGCACCTAATGCAAGATCTCACTCTCCCCACCCAGCCTCGAGGTAATATTTGGCACTTCAAGCTCTACACTCTCATTAAGAAAAGGCAGAAGGTCTGGAGAGATAGTGCACAGGGTAGCCCCTGGCCTTGCACGCGACCACCCTCAGTTCAATCCCTCACACTGAATATGCTTCCCCAAGCACCTCGAGGAGTGATGCCTGAGCAGAGGACAGGAGTTATCGCTGAGTATAGCCAAGTGTGTATCCCCCTCTCCAAAAAATATATTTAAAAGATTTGGCAGAACTATTCCCAGAAAATGGGAATGGTCTGGACAGGGGGTATGGCGGGGTTTCATCATAGCTATTCCCCAGAATCAGCAATAGATTCAGAAAAGGTCATGCCCTGAACGCCAGCTTAGTGACAACAAGGGGAAAAGAAAGGACCAGGGTGTGGGAGAGGCAGATGCTGTTCATGCCAGCCCAGCAGTCTGCAGAATGCCCGAGCGGGAAGCAGAGGCAACATCATTCCTGCCTCCAGAGCATAGCCACGTCCTCCACACGGAAGTAACAGGGTTTCAGAGAGGAAGGCCTGGGGACATTCTGCCTGGTATCAGAGGGAATAAGTCTGAGAACTGCAAACTTGATTTAAGTAAGGAATTTTATTTTCTTTCTTTCTTTCTTTCTTCCTTTCTTTCTTTCTTTCATCTTTAAGTAGAAAAGTTTATTGGAAAGTAGAAAGGAAAGGAACTTCCCAAGTGAAGAGGCACTTAGCATAGGATTAAATCCTAGATAAGGACTTTTCATCACTTTTTTGTGAACCACAAAGCCTCAGGAAAAACAACACAATTCCATTGCAGGCCCCAAGCCCAGCGAACACATGCAAAGAGGCCTGCGGCATTAGGGACACAGGCACATCCTGTGGCAGTGGTGCCCTGCCTATGCCAGATATGCCAGAGTCTGTCCTCAGTGACCAAAGCCCTCACCTTCCGTCTCCTCGGCCACCCAGTGGTTAATGTGCTTCCTGCAGTCTTCTGTGTCCCTGGAGAAGGACAGCTCTTCCAGCTCGGCGTGGTAGAACTGTTTGCATGATGCCTTGAAGTCCTGCCAATGAAATGTCTTGTTTGGCACCAGTTGACAAAGCCTCCCACAAAAGTGCAAGGTTTGTTTTTTCTTAAGGTGTTTGGAGTTACTTTAAGTAACAAAAAAACACAGATGCGGGCTGACATGATAGCACAGCGGGTAAGAGTGTTTGCCTTGCACACAGCCGACATGGGTTCGATTCCAGCATCCCATATGGTCCCTGAGCACCACCAGGAGTAATTCCTGAGTACAGAGCCAGGAGTAACCCCTGTGCATCGCCGGGTGTGACCCAAAAGGAAAAAAAAAACACAGATGCTTGCCCAGCTCATCCTGCCCTTTGAGACTCCTTCATGCCAGCCAGGTAGGGATGGCCCACACTGGACCTGAGGCCGGGCCAGGGCACCTGAGGGGACGGGCCGGTCCATGGAGGACAACGAGTCATGCCCACAGATGCCTTAGAACGTGGATAGGGGTAGCCAGGCACAGCTCAGCAAACAAGTCAATCCCATAAATCCACTTTCTGTTTGATCTTCTGCCACCCTCACCCACAGAACCCTCAAAGGGAAGGTTAACCACCCCCCTTTTGTGATGCTGAGGATTAAGCCAGGGCCTCAAACATGAAAGCATGCACTGCATTGCTTGTACTGTATATCCCAGCTTACATTGTTTTTGTTTTGTTTTGTTTTGTTTTGTTTTATCACCAGCCTGAAACCTGTATCTGAAATAAATTTGTGGAATGATTAGGAGGTATCATAATGGAACTCGATATCAAGAAATATCACAGGAGTGGAAATCCTCCAGAAGTGCAATGTAATGGTATGTGTGCATATAGACATGTCTGTGTTATGTATACACATGTATGTGAGCCTAGGTTAAGTACACATGGGTCGACGTGTGCCTGCGTGTGTAAGGGACGAGAGCAAAGATCGTGGTGGGGGGAGGTTGTAGATAAATCTTGAAACAGAAGCTGAGCTAAATGAAGAATATTCTTCTACCCGATGCCTCGGGACCCAGGATAACTCACCTCTCAGAAACTTGTTTCAGACAGAGCGTTCAGTGCCTGACAATCGGCTCCCAGCCTCCGCCCATCTCCTGCTCTCAAATATTTTAGCCTCTACAGAAGAAAGAAGCAGAGAGAAGCAGCTCCGCAGCCCACAAAGCCGGAGGCTGGTCCCTGAGTCCCCACATGCCCCAACCCCAAGGTGTCCAGTGCTCACTGGCCAGGAGATCCCCGTTCCTGCCAGACCCTCCAAGGGACACCGAGGTTCCCAGTGGGCACCATCCTGGCCAGGTGTTTCCCAGCAGACAGGAGGGGCTGCCAAGCCCAGAGAAGACCCTGGGCTCTGCCAGCCAGTCAGATGGAGGGGGCCTTCCTGCACAAGGCCCGCACAGCTGCTGCACCTCGCTTGGCCCAGCAGGCCTGGAATTTCATGCTGAAGGACTTAACGTTCAAGACCTCCATTTTATTGCCATATTTTAAACTTTTGGGACACTTATTCTGTCCGTGGTACAGGGCTGTGAGGCAGAGAGAAGGAGCCCGCTTGGCATGTAGAGGTCTGGTAGGAAACAAGGGTAAAAAAAATTTTTCCTTGCAGAAGGTCCCAGGGCAATGGGAGGATGCTGACTCAGAAGGGAGAGCATGCAAAAGGCAGTGGGAGGCCGGTGTGTGGGAACAGTCCCGGAGCCAGAAGGGGGTCGGAGATGGGAATCAGGAGGGCACCAGGCGAGGGACAGAGCCTGGGTTCCAGCAGGGGCAGGGCGGAAACCAGCAGGAAAAGGACAGTGGCCCAGAAGCAATCCCTGACTCAAAGTTCTATCGACGTCGGCGTCGCCCAAAGCACATGTCCAGCAGCACGGGACACTTTTCTGGTGTGCCCGGTGCGTCCCCCGCGACGTGTGGCGGCACTTACCGGAAGGAAGTCGCACGTCTCTTCCCCGAAGAGCCTGTTGGCCGTCCGGAGCTGGCACTGCGCGCCGCGCGCCTTCACCGCCCCGAGCAGGGCCCGAAAACCCGGGTGCACCGCGTCGTCCTCGCGCAGAGACAGCGCCTGGGACACATGGGGACACCTGGGACACTCGCGCCCGCGCGCCCTTCCAAACCTGCCTCCCTCCCCCAGGTCGCAGCGGGCCCCCTCGGAAGGGCTTTGATCGCACCACCCGGCCTGGCTGGCTCTGACGCCGCACAGCTGGCATTTTTGGGGGCCCCATTCTGGGCCCGGGCCCGCAAGGGTGCCGCCCTGGCAGGACAGATTTTGCAGCGCTCTGACGTTCGTCCACTAGATGTCAGTGACGGCCCTCGGTTACCGCAGCCGGCTCGGCAGGGCGGGCCCAAGGGAAACTCTAATGTGGACACACACACGCACGCACGCACGCACTCAGACACACAGACACACACCACACACACGCGCACACACGCACATGCACACAAGCACACACACATACATATGCACACACCCCACACGCACACAGTTACCACACACGCACACACACACACATAGACACACACGCACACACACACAGACACACCCCACACATGCACACACAGATGCACATACACACCACACACACGCACCCATGCACATACACACATATACACACAGGCACGCACACACATACCACACACACATGCACATGCACACATGCACACACACATACATATGCATGCACAAACCACACACATATGCACACACGCACATACATGCACATATACACACATACACACACATGCACATGCACACATATACACAGGTACACACGCACACACCCACACACCACAAACAGGCACACACATATACACATGCACACACACCACACACATACAACACACACATAGACACACACATACCACACACACGCACACACCTACAACACACACATATACACATGCACACACACCACACAAACACACATGCACAAACACCACACACAATACACACCACACACACATACTCTCTCTCTCTCTCTCTCTCTCTCTCTCTCTCTCTCTCTCTCTGATCTAGCTGGTTTCTTCCTGGCGTGAAGGTGAAAAGACACATGGTTCATGGTGTCAGGCAGAGCAAGCAAAAGTAAACATCAAACTGTTTTGTCAGTAATTTGACTTAAATTCTTCGGATCAGAGATTTAAAAATTAAATCATGGGATCACAGAGGTTCTTATTTCTCTGGTGAGCTGGAAGGACAATGGCCATGGGGGTCTAACTGCAGCCTTGAAGGCACTTCTGGGGGACCTCCGTGTGCCCTGGCACTATGGCAAGCTGGCATGACAAAACAGCCACACATTCGACACAGGGGCAGGTAACGGGCTTCTCTCCTGGAAGTTCACACATGGCATTTAAATGGCATTTAAGGCCATAGTGTAGACCCCTTTTAAGTAACTCTGAAAACTATGATTCTTTCACGTTTGCACAATCCTATGGTGGAAGCAATCCATTTCACAAATATTTCTTTGGCAGCTGGATTTCCACATGAAATAAGTTGCTGGCACACAATTACAATATAACAAGTTGAAATTCTTTGCCTTCAGGTGAACAGAATGACAGTGTATGCAATCAAAACACAGATTGGACTCTACCATGGTGATATGTGATCCAGTGAGAAGAAGACAAGGATGGTGCAATCTCCTCCATGTGCAGAGAGAGGGAGAGAGAGAGAGAGAGAGAGAGAGAGAGAGAGAGAGAGAGAGACTGCCCCCTCCACAGAGCTGCCTTTGCCCCGTCCCCACACTGCTTCCCCCAGCAGGGAATGCTCACCTGGAACATCTGGGAGGCCGTGTCGCCTCTGGCCCCCATTAAGACCATGGCCAGGGCGGAGGAGAGGCTTAGGGGAGAGAAGAACACGTTTCGGGCATCGTTCTCCTCACCCAGCATCTTTAGTAAGTTGATGGCAAAAGTGCCATTGGCCTCACTGAGATGATCCATCCGGACGGTCTGCAGCCAAAGTATCGAACAGAGAAGTATATCAGTCACCCCGTCCAACAGTGAATGAGCAGCTCCCCCCTGTAAGTGGACACTGGCTGTGGCCAGCAGGATCTCACACCCTAGAGATCTCTGCGTGTGGCTGTGACCTGGGAACCCCTTGCTAGTAACCTGTGGATCTGTTCCCTCACAGAGCAGCGGGCACCTTGTGGGTGGGGGTGAGTTAAGGGTCGTGAGAAGGGGAAGATTCTCTTGCACGCCCAGGTGGGCTAGAATGACCAGGGTCTTTGGAAGAGGGAGGCAGGAGGCCGGCGTCAGCGAAGATGAAACGACAAGATGCTAAGGTTAGAATGAGGGCCACGGGAAAGGACTGCGGGTGGCCTCTGGAAGCTGCAGAGAGCAAGGGGAGGGACTCGCCACCCTAGAATTCCCCCCAGAGCTCCAGGAAAAACGTAGCTCTGCTGACCAACCTGGGGCTCGCAATCTGCGGGTACTGATCTTTGTGTTGTGCTTAGCCACTACGTTTATGTCCAAGAGAGACCTGTGAGGTCAACACTAGCTCACTCACTAAGTGACTCTCAGGGTTAAGACCGTAACCACTTTTATTTTATTTTATTTGTATTTTTGGGTCATACCCAGCATGCTCAGGGGCTATTCCTGGCTCTGCACTCAGGAATTACTCCTAGTGGTGCTCCAGGGACCATATGGGATGCCAGATATTGAACCTGGGTCCGGGGATCAAACCTGGGTCAGCCACATGCATGCAAGGCAAACACCCTACACACTGTCCTATGGCTCTGGCCCTGCTATCACTTTATTTTATTTGTTTAGTTTTGTTGGTCACACCCAGCAGTAGTGCTCAGGGCTTACTCCTGGCTCAGAAATCCCTTCTGGCGGAGACCAGGAGACCATATGTGGTGCCAGGGTTGGAACCTGTTTCAGCTGCACGCAAGTCAAGTGCCCAGACACTGCACTATCTCTAGGGCCCCAGGGTTACCACTCTTGTCGAGAGAACCAGGAGGCAGCCCCTCCCAGCCCTGCTAGCATCTCCCAAAGCACAATAATGATGCGATGACCACTTATGGCATCGTCAGAGACACTGTTCTAGGTGCTTTACATGCATCATCTCAGGTCATCCCACACTGACACACAAGGTGGTCGGGGCACTTAGTCCCCGACATTAGGGACCAGAAAACCAGTGTCCTCACATCTCATTGTTTTCTATAAAGTCATTTGTTTTGTATGAGTACCTATTTGGGAGGAGGGGGTGTGATATGTCAGGCTGAGCTCAGAGCTTACTCCAGGCCCTATGCTCAGATCACTCACACCTGGCAGTGCTCAGGGGACCATATGTGATGCCAAGAATTAAACTCAAGCCAGTCACATGCACAACAAGCACCTTACCTGCTATGTTTCTCTTCAGCACTCAATTTTTTTTTCACTCAGAAATTGAAAGCTACACAAGAAAAATGTGCTTCCATTCGGGAAAACTAGCCAAAAAGCACACTCCAAAGTGCTGGAAACTTCCAGCTAGAGAAAAAAAGAAGGCATCTACCTGTCCTGGGGCAGGGGAGGAGGGACTAGGAACTGCTTCAACTGTGTCCCTGGGGGCACAACTGTATCAGTCTCTCTCTCTCTCTCTCTCTCTCTCTCTCTCTCTCTCTCTCTCTCTCTCTCTCTCTCTCTCTCTCTCTCCTTTGAAGCTACTCTGTAACTTCCTCTGAAGGTATTTTTCCTAGAGAGATGTCTGAGAGTTAGGGTAAAGAAAGTTTGGGGGTGCATCATTTATGGAATATAAAGTAACAGAATGGGAGACTAACACCCAAGAACAGTAGAGATAAGGACCAGGAGGATTAGTCCACAGCTTAAAAGCCGGCCTCGCATGCTGGGGGAAAAGGCAGCTCAGATAGACAAAGGACCACCAAGTAAAGGGAGCTAGGAGGGCCTGCTCAGGATGGGAGATGCAGACTGAAAGTAGACTAAAGACCAAACGTGATGGCCACTTAATACTGCTACTGCAAACCACAACACCCAATAGGGGAAAGAGAGAGAGAGAGAGAGAGAGAGAGAGAGAGAGAGAGAGAGAGAGAGAGAGAGAGAGAGAGAGAGAGAGAACAAAATGGAATGTCCTGCCACAGAGACGGGGTGCAGTGGAGAGTGGAGGGGACGGGGCAGGGGTGCAGGGTTGGTGGGAGGGATGCTGGGACCATTGGTGGTGGAAAAGGGACACTGGTGGAGGGATGGGTACATGATCCTTGTATGACTGAAACGCAAGCATGAACGTTTGTGAGTCTGTAACTGTACCCCACAGTGATTCACCAATAAAAAAATTTTTAAAAAAATGAAAGTTTGGGAGTGCGGAAAAAAGTGTGAAAGACACACCCTCATAGCCCCAAATCAGTGCAAATTCTTTATGAGTTGGCAGAAATGTAATAAAACGCCCATCAAGAAAATGCCCTGGTGCTGTCTCTCACACAGGGCCCTGGAATAGATCCTTAAGAAGTGACCATGGTCAAGGTTCTCCCTGGCTCACATCCTGAAGGTTCCCTGGGCTCAAGTCCACGGCAGAGATATAGGAGGATGGATGTGCCGCCCTGGGCACTCACAGCAGAGCGGGCACTTGGCCTGTCCGGACTCCCCGTAGCTCCTCCTTCTTCCATCTCACACTTGACATTTCAGGAAATAAAAGACACTGAAGGAATAGGTGGAAATCACAGCACTGGGGGCCCCAAGAAGATCCAAAACAGGGGCCAGAGCTGTAGTTCAGTGAGTAGGACATTTGCCTTACAGGCGGCCAACCTAGGTTTGATCCCAGAGACCCCATATTGCCCCCAAGCCCCACTAGGAGTGAGTGATCCCTGAGCATAGAGACAGCAGCCCTCAGTCCCAACACATGTGAGCCCCCCAAAACAGAAAAACACAAAAAGGAGAGTGGGGTAAACTGAGAGAAATGGATCTGAACCAACCGGATTCACAGAGCTTTGGGCTGAGGACAAGGTGGACACAATCTTAGGTGGGTATAGGACACTAGGACACGTGTGTGTCAACATGTGTGTGTGTGTGTATTTGTCCTGTCTGGATAGACAAAGAGGTGGAGATCAATGTCACATCAGTTTCATCCAGTCCAGGGGACAATCTTCGGTTTCCCATTAGTCTCATCCTAATGCAAGGACATCACGTAAACACACACATGCACACATACAAGTGACCTAAGACATTTCACAGCTCACATGGGTGGAATGAGAAACAAGAACAGAGCAATAGAATGACCACCACCCCCATCTGCTTGTTCCACTCAGCTTATTTGTACAGCAATATTTCTGGGAGGACTGGAACTTTAAACAAAAGCATCATTGCCTGGTAAATTTTAAAAAGGACACAGTGGAGTACTATGTAGCTGTAAGAAAAGATGAAGTCATGAAATTTACATACAAGTGGTACTACATGGAAAGTACATGCTAAGCGAAATGAGTCAGAAAGAGAGGGATAGACATAAAAAGATTGCATTCATCTGGGGGACATAAAGTAACAAAATAGGAGATTAATACCCAAGAATAGCCAAGATCAGTACCAGGAGGATTACTCCATAGCTTAGAGGCCAGCTGGGCATTCTAGGGGAAAACACAGCTCAGATAGAGAAGGGAGCACCAAATAAAGGGTGTTTGGAGGATCCTCCCAGGAGGGGAGATGCATGTCGAAAGTAGACTATGGACTGAACATGTTTGCCACTCAATGCCTCTTTTGCAGACCACAACACCCAAAAGGAGAGAGAGAACACAGGGGATTGCCCTGCCACAGAGACAGGGGGGATGGGGGGATGGGGGTGGGAGGGATATTATCCATGGTGGTGGAAAATGGGCACTGGTGGAGGGATGGGTATCTGATCATTGTATAATTGAAAGTCAAGCACAAAAATTTGTAAATCGACAACTGTACCTCATGGTGTTTCACTAATAAAAATTTTAAAAAAAGAGAAATCATTTTAGTTTCATAGAAAAGAACACCTTCAGGTATAAGAGTGTAATCCAAGTGGGTCCTGAAAAACACAGCACCAGGGAAAGAATAACTTTTCAGCCTATAGCATGACCTGGCATTCAACTACTGTTCCTTCTGCTGAGAAACAAAGTCAGAAGAGCTGAAAATTCTCCTCGGGTCTCACAGGAAGGGGTGGTAGAGTCAGCCCAAAGCCAGCCTGCCGCTTCCAAGCAGGCAAGAGCACCCGACTTCACTCCCCTCCCCCCACACACATTCTCAAAAGGCGTGTGGGGGGGGTTCTCCAGAATTCATTTATGCAGAGATTTCCGTCTATAATTTTGGAGAAGAAAATCATTTGAAGCAGCCATGAACTCCAACCGTGATCATTCCTGACCTAAATCCCTACCAGAGAGACACCACATGTCTGCAAACACGTAGTTTCGAGCCAAGCATGCACGCTCATGAAGCGCTAAGGAGAATCCAAAAGAATTCTCGACAGCCACGGGGAAGGTGAGAGTGAGCTGGTCGAAACACCAGGCGCGAATCCCGTGAGTCAGTGCTGGTGGGTGGTTTAAAGACTGGGCAGGAGTTCTGAGGGTTGACGGTGGGCGAGGCGGTTTAGAGGCCCGGGAGGTCCACGTCGGAGCTGGGCGAGGTAAATCTGAAGGATGGTGCCTTGGGGTTGACCACAGATGGAATGCAGCAGGACTGGCTGGCGTGGGTGGGGTCCCCAACATCAGGGCAGCTGCAGAGACGATGTGCACCCCTCATGCCAGGGTCCAAAGTCTGAACGTGACTTACGGTCTGGGATGTTTTATTATCATCAACACGTTGTTGACTGAGGAAAAGAGTTAAGTTCACCACCCAGTGTAAAAAGTGTTTCCAAAAACTAGGCTGAAGACAGGATGGCAATAATGGAAACGATCACTCTGGACAAGAACTGAGGGCTGAAAGGAGATAAAGGGATGTACATGATGACCTTTCAATTTGTTTTGAGAAGCATAAGGCCCAAAAGGAGAGAGAGGGAGGGGGGAAGGAAAATAAGTTGCTTCCATGAGCAGGGTGTCCAGAGGGAACTGCAACTGGGGACACTGGTGGCAGAAAATTTACAGTGATGAAGGACGGGTGTTGGAACATTATGTGACTGATATAAAACCATCAGGAACTACTTTTTAACTGTATCTCACTGCGATTCAGTTAAGAATGTCACTGTCACTGTCACTGTCCTCCCGTTGTTCACCGATTTGCTCAAGCGGGCCCAGTAACATCTCCATTGTGACAACTGTTACTGTGTTTGGCATATCAAATATGTCATCGGTAGCTTGCCAGGTTTTGCCGTGCGGGCGAGATACTCTCGGTAGCTTGCTGGGCTCTCCTAAAACAGGCTAAAGAGTGGGCTGATAAACTATCACCATAGACACCGGGACTTTAGGGGTACTTTGTGCTCGTGAGAGGGGGCTGGGATGGAGTTGCAGTCTGGGTGACTGATGCCGTGGGCGGGGACACAGGGCAGACCAATCAAGGACTGTGACAAGATGCCCGGGTAATTGCAGGCTCTGGAAGTGCTGGGATAATTGCAGGCTCGAGTGGGTAGTGAGCCACAGGAAGTTCGCAGGAGGAGTTGGCCTGCAGCCGGACAGAGATCCACCCATTACATTGTGGAATCTTCCAGACTAACAGAACCCTTGACACAAACAGGCCAGAGAGGCAACACTGGGAGTTCAGCCAGGGCACTTAGGGGGAGTCGAAACTCGAGAGTGAGAGGCTGGAGCCATCGCATTGGGGCTCCCTGGGACAATGATACGATGACCTGGAGTGTGCCAGGGGCCACTCCAGAATAAGAGTCACCAGTCCTGGGGAAGTGTCCAGGACTTGAAGGTAAGAAAGAGGGGCCAAGGACTGAGACCCACCAGGACAGGAGACCAGGGAGAACAAGGACACGTCTGAGGGAGGAAGAAGGATGGAAACTTGGCCAGTGTGAGGCTGGCACAGAGCCCAGCTGGCTGCAGGGGCAAGACCCCATGTGGCATCTCAGCCATTCTGGGGACTTTAACAACTGTCAACACTGAGATGACACTCAACTACAATCCACCTTCGCCTCCTCACTGTACTGATCCTTTTTGCATAAGGTCCTCAGAGTCCACCAAGGCTGGGCAGCCTGTAGGGACCTGAAGAGGGTGAAATCCTCTCCCGTTCCTTAGAACATTCATGACTAAACCTCCTCCTGATCCACATGGTATCAAAAATGGTCAGAAAAGGCCTTATGTGATGCTCCTCAGAGCCAGTCTGGGCCCCAAAGCCCCTTTCAATAAAGCGTCCTTGACTTCACCGGAACTGCTTCAAGATTACTGTCCTCGGGGAGCACGGGGGATCCCAGCGGGCAGTCTCAGAACAGAGTGGTAGCGGCCCAGGGCACGGGGCACATTAGCCACTGTGGGGAGAGAAGAAAGCCAGGCAAGGGTTTAGCCTCGCTGGGCAAAGAGTCAGTGAAGGTGAAAAGAGGAACATAAAAAGGAATGGAGAAAAGAAAAAGGGAAGGCACGGTAAAGATGAACACATATGGGAAGGAAGGAATGGAAGGAAGGAAGGAAGGAAGGAAGAGGAGGGAGGGGAGGGAGGGAGGAGGAGGGAGGGAGGGAGGAAGGAAGGAAGGAAGGAAGGAAGGAAGGAAGGAAGGAAGGAAGGAAGAAGGAGAGAGGGAATCAAGAAAGCAAGCAAGAAGGAGTTTCTGTAAGGAAGGAAGGAATCAAGGAAGGAATCAAAGAAGCAAAGCAAAGGAGTCAGTGGAAGAAAGAAAAGGAAGGAAAAAGGGAAGGAAGGATGGAGAGGAGGAAGGAGGAGGGAGGGAGGGAGGGAGGGAGGGAGGGAGGGAGGAAGGAAGGAAGGAAGGAAGAAAGGAAGGAAAGAGAACAGGAGGGAAGGAGAGAGAAGACTGCAGACTGGCAGGAAGGAAGGGAGGAAAGGGAAGGAGGGAAGAAGGATGGGGAAGACAGGAAGAGTGGAGAGGAGAGCGGGGAGACTGGAGGGAAGGGGGTTAAGGCCCGAGGGCCCCCCCCGCCCCCCCCCCCCCCCCCCCCCCCCCCCCCCCCCCCCCCCCGGCAGGGTGCGGAGGCGGCTTAGCTGTAGCCGGACTCCGGGGAAACCCCTAGCACTGCGAGCTGCAGAGCCTGCCCAGGGTCGGCGGCTCCTCCCACCCGACCCCGGCAGCGTCCCCTGGCTCACTCCCCTCCCGGCACCTCGAGACCCAGCGGGGTCCCCTGGCTCCTCCTCCCAGGCACCCCGGGACCCGGAGAGTCTGCGCTCCCGCGCCTGCGCCCGGAGAGCCTGGGTGGGACCTGCAGCCCCCCGGGGACCCCCCGGGCCCAGAGCGATCCGGGGGTGACTTCCCCTTCCTGGCCGGCCAGTCCCCCCCGCCACCCAGTGCCCCTCCTCTTCCTCCTCCTCCTCTCCTCCTCTCTGCGTCCCGTGGCCCTCCTCGCCCCGCCCGCGCAGCACCCCTCGGGAGCTGTCGGAGCCGAGACTGGGGGCGCGCGTCCCCCGCGGTCCAGCGCTCACCTGGGCGATTCCCGCCGCTCTCGCCGCCGCTGCTGCTGCTGCTGTCCCCGGGCCGAGCCTTCCCTGGGGCTTTGATTTCCAGCCGCCACTTCCGGCAGGTGACTCAGAGC